TTTCACTGCCTGACTCGTTTCACTTAATATTATTCTTTCAAGGTCCATCCATGTTGTTGCTGACCCCCAAAGCACAGGCAGATGTTGTATTTTTTAAATGTAGAAATGCCATTTGGGTTTTTTTTTTAATATCTTCCATTTTTCTCCTCATTATGGTCATGTTTTCTTTTTCTTCTTAAAGATATGGTATATATTTGTATACTTTTCTAATATTCTTTTCTGCTAGTTTCATCACATGTATTATTTCTGGGTTTGTTTGTTTCTACTGAATCATTTTTTCCCCCATAGTTACAGGTTATTTTTTCCATTTTTTTTATTTGCGTAGTAATTTTTAGGTTGATACTGGGCATTCTGAATCTTATGTTGCTCTGGATTTCATCTTATTCACTTAAGTAATATTGTATAATCTAGTCCTATAAACTTGTTAGGTCTTCCTGGTTTCTGTTTTATGGTTAATGATTTTTTTCTTTTTTCTTTTGTCATTATAGATGTAGACTTAAGGGTTTTTTAAATATGTTTTCATGAGCATTTAAGAAAAAAAACTTGTGGGTGCATTCCATAGGACATTACGTATACACTTATCATGTCTGAAATCCAGAATGATGGAGAAAATATTGGCTGCTTGAATCTTTTCTGGGTATTAGAGGGAGGAAATTTTGAAGATAGCAAATAATTCACACATTGAGGTTTGGCTATTGAAATCTTTATCCTTCTTCACAATAGGGATAACCTTGGTGCTATATTAAAACTAGAGGTGCCAATATGGATTTTGGTTGAGTAAGGGGTGAGGTTCTTATATTTCTCCTTTTTTCCCATTGCAGGCATGTTCCTTGGAATCTCCATGAGCCGACAATAGGCCAATTTTACTTCATTAGAAACCTGGATTTGAAGTATGTGCTAATGCTTAAATTGCTTGATTCTCTGGTGCAGAGACAGGGGTTTCACTGTGGGGATCAGATGAAGCAGTCAGGGGCACCTTACTTTCTGCTTTGAGAACTGTAAGGAAGGTCTGATAATTTTGTTTCCTGGACTGAAGCCCGCTTGAGCAGTGAGTGTTATTTATAGTGGAGCACAGGCCTCATGTCTGTGGCACGTTATTACTCACAGCGTGATTTAGATAGTGTTCCTCCAGAGTTCTACAGTTTTAGTCTGCCATGAGGAACCTGCTCTCTCAGTTATAATAGGAGATTTCTGGGCTATTGTTTACAGAGTTTCTAAGACATGACAGAAGTAGAGTAACTGTTTAATCAGAAATATGTAGTTACCATCTACTATAGTTCAGACATTGTCATTGGTACTGGAGATGGACAGATAAAACAGTTTGTGCTTTAAGAATATGGATTCTCCACAGAGAGGGAGGCAAATACAACATACTAGGGTTATACAACCCAAACTAGGGGAACAGATCAAGGAAGACCACAGTGAACTTACAGCTGAATTTATTTTCAAGGCTGAGCAGAAGTTAACTAGAAGGGGCTGAATGGTATTTCAGGCAGAGTCCAGCAGGGGCAAAGTCAGAGATGTGAGAGAACATTATAAATTAATGAAGGTGACATTAGCTGCTGTAACAAGTAAGCCTCAAAGTCTTTTAACAATAAAGGTTTATTTTCATTCAAGTAGAATCTAAAATAGTTATTCCTGGTGAGCATATGTCTCCCTACCAAGAAATAATTGGAGGCACTCCAGTTCTTTCTGTCTTGTGCCTACACATAACTGCCAAGCTGCCATGGTGTCTGCATCCTGCAGCAAGCGGATGACGAGCATGGGGGTATCTTCTGGGGCTGGAGCACATTGATTGCTTCTGCTCACATGCTGTTGGCTCGAGCTCGGTCCCATGGCCCTGTCTAAATGCATGGGAGGCTGAGAAATGTAGCTGAGCTGTGTGCCCAGGAGGGAAAGGGAATGACTTTGTTGATTAACTTCTTGCCATACATTGTGTTTTCTGGTAACTGCAAGTAATGCTGTCTGGTGGTCTTGCTAGTTTAAGTAGAGGACCTGTCAAGAAACGAAGCTGGAGAACTAGCCAATGCCCAGGTCCTGTCCTTGAATACCATACTACAGAATTTGGAGTCTGTTCTAAAGGCTTTGGGGAATATTTGAAGAATTTTAATTTGGAAAGTTAATATTTGCATTTAGAAAGATCATTCCAGCTGTTCTTTTAAGAGGCAGCATAACATAGTAGTTAAGACTTCATTTCTGGAGGCTCTCTGTCTGAGTTCTAATTGTAGTTCTTCCATTCACTAAAAATGTGACCCTGGGTAACCTCTGACCCCTTTATGTTTGTATTTTCTTATCTGTAAAATAGAGAAGACATTGATACCTATCTCATAGAATTGTCAAGTAAAATAGGAGGGTACCTCAAAAAGTTCATGGAAAATAGAATTAAAAGATAATGTCAATATTTCCATGAACTTTTAGAAGATCCCTCATAACAAACTTAAAGAGTTTGATTGTAGTGCCTGATGCTGATACAAAATATACATTAGTTCCTATTGCTGTTGATGATATGATTATTATTGACGGTCGTTGGACAGGGATTGGAAGAGGGTAAGATTGGGAGGAAGGAGACGAGTGAGATAGCCGTTCTGATACCTCAGGGAGGATTACAAGTTCTTGAAGCAGTGTGGCAGCAGTAGGCACGCAG